GGCCCCCCCCCCCCCCCCCCCCGCCTGCCCTCCCTCCCTGCCCTCCCGCGAGCGCAGTGTCGCCGTCCAGCTGGAAGAACGGCCCCGGGTCGCCCGGCCTGATCCACATGACGCCCGGCGTGCAGCTGTCGGCCGGCGGCGACGCGCTGGGGCAGCAGTACAACACGCCTGCCTCGGTCATCGGCGAGCGCGCCAGCGACGTGATCATTGTGGGGCGCGGCGTGATCAAGGCGGCCGACCCCGCCGCCGCCGCCGCAGAGTACCGCCTCGCGGGGTGGACCGCTTACGAGCAGAGCCTGGCAGCCTGAGGCATGGGGTCTGACCCTTTGAAACGCAAAGCCGAGCAACACCAAGGAGAGTTTTGGCTGGTTGGATTGATCGTGCTGCAGCAGAAAAGAGAGTGGGCCTGCAGCTCCCCTGGTCAACAGCGGGCAGGCCCAGGTGGCACCTGCCGCCGTGGGCGTGCATGGGCACCCGATTCCCCGACATGCCGGTGTCCATCCGCCCCTGGGTATGGCATTTTCGCTTGCAAGGCCAGCAATCGATGAGAGCCCCATGTTTGCGTTGCATAATTGCCACGAAGGCGGCCGCCAGCTCGGTGACTAGGCAGCCGGCTCAGCGGGGGCCTCAAAGGCCGGAGCAGCCGCTTCGCTTTCGTATTACAGCACTTGAGTTGACTTCACACACATCCAACACGCAGCGCGCCTTGTTTGTGTTTGGCCTTGACCGCTTCCCCCCCTCAAAACACCGTTCAAGCGCTTCTGCACCGTTTTTGCAACCCCGGGTGCCTCTGTTTGAGCAAAGAGCAACGCAAGGAGCGCGATGCTGGGGGCTGCACTTGGGGCGTTCGCCCCGCCGCGGCCGCTGCACCGCACCCTTGCGCCTGCCCAGGCAACCTGCCGCCCTCGCACCCTGAGGTGAGTGTGCCAAGGCCCGCCGCCGCATCACGCGCCGCAATCCTCAGTCCGACAGTTTGGTCTACGTGCAATCTGCTGTCAGCGCAAGGATCGGGCTTGCAGACCCCACGGACGGCTCAACACGAGCTGTTCAGACCCTGCAGGTGCCATGCGGAGGGCCGAGGAGCCGTGGAGGAGGTGGCGCCCACGTCCCCCGGCGGCGGCACCACCTCGGCGACCCTCCAGAAGGCACGCCAGGCGGCGGAGCTGTCCCTGGAGTCGTTTCAATACCAGAAGGCCGAGGATCCGGCCCCGCAGGTGCGAACCTCTCGGGGGAAGCAGAACTGCTGTGGCACGGGCGGGCACTGGCCATTCCGCCCGCCCCCTCGCCCGCCGCCGCTCGGTCCCCCCCGTACCGGCCGAAAGCTGCCGTGCGCCGTCTGCGCCGCCAGTTTGCGCCCTGCACCGCTCAGCCCTGCCGGACGCTGCAAGCTGATGAGGCACCGCATCCCTGCGTCGCTGGCCGTGCCCGCAGGATCTTGTGGGCTCGCTGAGGAGCAAGTTTGATGCTGTGCGGCGGGAGCTGGTGACCGTCACCGAGGCCGAGTATGCGCGGCTGGCCAGCCGCGACCGCACGGGCGCCGCCATGTCCCCGACCCCCACCCTGGCTGTGGACCGGCTGGTCCGGGAGATCCAGCAGCAGCATACCGCGCAGCAGCCCGCCGCCGACGTGCAGCAGAACATTGTGCCGCTGCCTGCCCTGGCGCGCAAGGCGCTGGAGAAGGAGGTGGTGAAGCCAGAGGGGACGGGCGAGGAGATCCTGCTGCAGGGCTTCAACTGGGACAGGTCAGCCAGCTGCCTGCCCTGCTGCGCGCCGCTGCCTGCCGTGACCTGGCAGCGGCAGTAGCCGCCGACACAGCGAGCTCCGGGTCTGTTGCTGACTGCCCCCTGATGCCGCGCCGGCCCTCTCCCACCCTGCAGCTGGAAGCAGCCGGGCGGCTGGTACAACCATGTGCGGTCACGGGCCGAGGAGTTTGGGCAGCTGGGCTTCACCGCGGTCTGGCTGCCGCCGCCCACACAATCTGTCAGCAAGCAGGTGCGCGACCTGTGCTCAGGCATACCCCAGCCTGGGGCCCTTGGCACTGCAGCCCTTGGCTGCCTTCTTTCGCAGCTGCCTGCCTGGGTTCATGTGCTGGCCCTTCCTCATTTGCTGCCTCACCACTTCTCTCCGTCCCACTCCCTCCGTCGGCTGCCTGCAGGGCTACATGCCTGGCGACTTGTACAACCTCGACTCCGAGTACGGGAAGGAGGCAGACCTCATCAACTGCATCCGTACGCTGCAGGGCGCGGGGCTCAAGGTCATCGGCGACACGGTGAGGCGCGGCCGGCCAGGGCGGAAGGCAGGATACAAGCCTGTCGGGCAGGCTAGGCTGCCCGCCTGGTTGGCCTCCTGGCAGTTCCTCACCTGACTGGCATCCAAGCTGCATACTCATCAGCTGCATGCTGGCGGTGCAGGTGCTCAACCACCGCTGCGCCCAGCACCAGGACGAGCACGGCGTGTGGAACAAGTATGGCGGGCGGCTGGACTGGGATTCGCGGGCCATCGTGGGTGAGCGGGTGGGACCGCCAGTCTTGGCCTCCGTTATTCCGAGCTTCGCTGCCATGCCCTGGCCTCCACCATGCTCCGCCTCCCTGCCCCTGCCACCCCGCAGGTGACGACCCCAACTTCCGCGGTCGCGGCAACCGCTCCAGCGGCGAGCACTTTGCGGCGGCGCCCAACATCGACCACACCCAGGACTTTGTGAAGCGCGACCTGCAGGGTGGGTGTGGGGTGGTGGTGCAGGGGAAGGCAGCAGGCTGTACACAATGCATGCAATGTTGCGCTATGCCTCGGCAGCGCCTGTGCCTGGGCTGCGCAGCGTGCCCACGTCCGCCGCCAGCTGCTGCATTTGGCTGCCCCCGTGCAGAGTGGCTGGCCTGGCTGCGCACCCACGCCGGGTTTGATGGCTGGCGCCTGGACTATGTGCGCGGGTTTGCGGGGAGCCACGTCAAGGACTACATGGAGGCATCCTGCCCGCAGTTTGCAGTCGGTGAGCATGGTGGCAATGGGGGGGTGGCTGGTTGCTGTTGGTATAGGTGTGGGTAGGTGGGCTGCGGTTGCGGTATCGGGCTGCTGGAGCAGCTCTGGACACAAGCTGCTACCGAGGGCTATCTTGCGCATGGGATGCAAGCAAGGGACCACCGCAGCCAGTTCTAACCTCCCTGCCTGCCGGCCTGCCCTGCCTCTGCCTCCCCTGCCCCCGCAGGCGAGTACTGGGATGCGCTGGCGTACGAGTGGGACGGCACGCCCAGCCCCAACCAGGACGCGCACCGCCAGCGCACCGTCAACTGGATCAAGGCTGCCGGGGGGCTCTCAACGGCCTTTGACATCACGCTCAAGGGCATCATGCACGCGGGTGGGGGCCGGCTGCCTGTGGCAGGAAGGGCATGGCTGCAGATGCCTGCCGCTGCGCACCTCTGCTTGCAGCACAGCATGCCCTGTTGGTTGGCCCCGCACTTCTCCCCCTTCCCTTTTGCCAACCCCCACCTCGTGAGTGTCATGCATGCCGCCCACCTTTGCTCCCTGCAGTGTTTGAGCGCTGCGAGTACTGGCGGCTGCGCGATGGCGAGGGCAGGCCTGCGGGACTGCTGGGCTTCTGGCCCTCCCGCACCGTCACCTTCCTGGAGAACCACGACACGGTGGGTGAAGGGGCGAGCCAGGAGGGAGGCGTTGGGTGGGCATGCAGATGCGGTGCACGTCGGCCACTGCTGCTGCACCACAGGGGAGCATGGGAGGGCTGCCCCTGCTGACCGCGCCCCCTCCGGCCGCTGCCCGGCTTGCAGGGCTCCAGCCAGGGGCACTGGCGCTTTCCTGGGCACGCCGTGGAGCAGGGCTACGCCTACATCCTCACCCACCCGGGCACCCCCTGCGTCTTCTGGGACCACCTGGCCGACCAGCGGCTGAGGGACACCATCGCGCGCCTCATCGCCGCCCGCAGGCGCGCCGGCATCCACTGCCGCAGCAAGGTGGGCTGGGGAAGGGCGGGCTGGCTGATCTGAAGCGCAGCAGCCGCTGCGTTCCCGCCGTCCAACTCGGCACAGCCGATCAGCCAGGCGCGGCCGTTGCAGGGGTCGGCGCACTCCTTACACTGCCCGCGCTCTCGCTTGACCCCCATCCCACAGATCACCATCCTGCGTGCTGAGCGCGACATGTACGCTGCTGAGGTGGAGGGCAAGGAGGGCAAGACCCTGCTTATGAAGATTGGCCCGGGAGACTTCTCACCCGACGGCAGCAAGTGGACTATCGCCGACTGCGGGCAAAACTGGGGCGTGTGGGAGCGCAAGCAGTGACGCCGCGCGCGGTGTTGCCCAGCCCACCTCAAGCCCCCGGGACAACACATTACCGGGGCGGCTCCCCAATCCGCTCCGCCCGCGGCACCTCTTTGTAGCGGTGATCCTCTAGCGCTCATCGTCATCTGGTTGGTGGTAGCCCCACACCAACAGCAGCGCCTGCATGTTGCAGCTGCAATCTCACACTCCCTATTTTTCAACTCCTAGACCCCATCCCCCAACGCATGAGCAACCTGGGACTGCCCGGCTGCAGGCCCTCTGTCACCAACCCCGCCATGCTGCTGCGGCAGCGCCCTGGACTGCTCTTGACCCTCTCTGCCAACACCACGATTGATGTGTAGGCCGCTTGTGCGCTTCGCTTGTTTGGCGAGCAGCCGGCGCCTCCCCTCCACCCCATCCTGTACTGGTACTTTCTTCCTCTGTTTTATGCGCCCCTTGCTTCTTCCATCCCTGCCTTTTCTTGCGGTGCCGCCTCCTCCACCCACGCCGGCTGAGCCAGCGCTGGGGGGGCCGGACACCGCCGCCAGCTTGATTTCGCCACGCCCACCACGCTGCTTCCATCTATACACAGATGCGAGCAAATCAACAAATGAACTTCCGTGATTCAGTCGGTCCAACCTGCCAGCTCTTCTTCTTTCTGGCCCGCGCTCATGCCCCTCATGACCTGCGGCGCCAACCTTTGATGCACACACCCAGCAGCCTGATGTTCTCTCTGCTCGCAGTGCAGGGCAGCCGCCGTACGTGGGCGGCGCCACTTGATACCCCCCTAGCGATTAGTGCAATTCGCATTTTTTTGTCTGCTGTGCAGTTGCGCTTGCTCCTCACTGTCCATTAGCCATTGCTTCCTCGACTGATGTACCCCATGTCGGTTGTTGCTCACTGTCCCTTTGGTTGAATTTGCTTGTAAAGCAGCAAGTCTTACACCCAAGGCCGGCGTGCAACTGGTCTGGTTGCCGTCAGCTGAGCAGCAGCGTTGGCACCACAAGCGCGGCCCGCCCACGCGTCGTCTCCACCTGCTCCGCATTGGGGCGGTCGTTGGCGGCGATGCGCCAGCGCGACACCTCTGCCGCCACGCCGTTGCCGGTCTGCCGCTCAAACACGCGCTGCATGGCCACATCCAGCTGGCAGTCGATGAACCAGGTGTCGTCAAACAGCTGGCGCAGGCGCCACCACGGCTCCGCCGCCAGCAGCAGGTAGTTCCCTTCCGACACTACCACGGCGTGGTGCGCCTCCACCGCAATGTCGCCTGGCCGCGGGTCGCCCACGCCGTGGTCAAATGAGGGCGCCGCGCCCTGGCCTGCAGGGTTTCCAGGGCTCGCCAGCACACTGTGGGATGTGCCGGCAGCAAGCTGCCATGATGGCAGCGCCCCCGCAGGGGAGCTGTGGTGCCGCCTTTGTCGAGCTGCCGCCTTTGGGAGGCCCAACGCCACCCCACACAATGCCGGGGCCCAACCTGTGTGCTTGATGTCAGCAAGGCAGGCGTGGTAGGCGCGCGCATCAAAGGTCCACTCGGCTCCCCGCCGCGCATGCGCCAGCTGCGGGTCTGGCATCTGGTCCAGCTGGCGGCGGAAGAAGTGGAAGCCGTCCTGCACCAAGGGCAGGGCGGGTAATGGCAAGCTGCTTCCGAGCCCCCCCCCCTGGCCATAGCGTCCTAGGGGGTTATCAGGGGCTGGCCCCGAAGCCCCTCCCCCTCCCTGGCTCCGCTTACCATGGGCACATTCACCGCCGGCGTGCCGCGCTGGTTGAGCAACTCAACCACCGCCTTGGCCAGCGAGGACTTGCCACTGCCGGGCACCCCTGCCACCCCCACCATGAATTTTGGAGCCCTGCAGGTGACGCAAGAGGGGGGTTCCCACGCTGTGAGCATGGCATGGCTCCTGGGCTTCTGCTGCAAAGCTTGGGCAATTGCACTTCGGCGGCGCACGATGGTTCCCCGCCTAGCTTCGCACCCTGGCCCCCGCTGCTGCAGCAGCTCCTCAACCCGGCCGGCAAGCAGGTCATAGACATCTTCCATGGTGGAAGCCCCCTCCAGGGGACTGCTGCCCCCTGCCGGGGCTGCTGCTGCCGCAGCCTGCACTGGCGTGGTGTCGCTGAAAGATGGCTGCAGGGCCTGCGGCAGCAAGTGGCGGGTAGAGTTGAGGGCCACCTTCTCAACGTATTTGGTCGCTTAAACCATGCTGAAGCTGCTGGTGCTCTATGGTCCTCACCTCTATGGTGCTCCAGCAGCAGCTGGAAGTGACGTGCTTGGGCATCCAACACAGCAGCGACGGCGGTGGCAAAGCTCGCCGCCGCCGCCGCCCCAGCTGGAGTCTGGGGTTCCGATTGAGCCCCCATCCGCCATCTGTCAATCCATTACTTCCAGGAGCGATAGAAAGGTGCTTTTCCATAGCTGCACGCCTCTCGCAGAATTGGAAATCGTGCTACAGGGGTTTGTGTGCAGCCCCGGCCCCAATTCGATTGATCGGCACCCAGAGAGAAGGCCTGGTTGTGGAAGGAGCGAAACAGCGATCGGAGAAGATGGGGGAAGCCAGCCTCCTTGGCGCGCCATGGCAGGTAGGCCTCCCGATCACCGGTCCCCTCCTGGCGGGGGTCATGCATCCCCCACCCATCATGCATTTCAGGCTTCATCTCCCTCAAACCTCCACCATTTTCCCTCTCGTTTGTCGTGATCGACTCCGGGTAGCCCAAATGCCATTCTAGCGGGGCCTATGGGCCGCGACGAAGCGACCAACTCTGGTGGCAAAGGCAGCAGTCTCGGCGTGTCTGCCAAACGCCTGAAAGGCGGCACCAGCAAGTCCCAACACAAGCATGTTACAGCTCTACTGCAAAACTGGGACAGAGTCACCAAGGCGCATCCTGACCTGCGGGGCGTTCTGCTGTTACAGTCTGCATACTCCAACAGCAATGGATGGGCTAGAACGCACAATCTTGCCGGCATGGGCCCACTGCTGAAGGCTCTCTTGGTGGAGATAGTGGCATCCGCCGGCGGGCGGCGGGTGACGCCACGCATGGTTGCCGACATTGCGGAGGGGGCGACGGCGGAGAACTTGCAGTTCCTTTTGCGAGTTCTGGAGTTTTGTACAGCTGCCGAAGTCGTGGGGGGAAAGCATGTTGAGATGATGATGAATGCTGTCACGGGCTGCAAGCTCGACGCCCCGCCAGGTGCGCCTGGTGGCCACGCTCAGCCAGCCAGTCTCTCCAT